TTTTTATTGATTTCGGATCGGATATCCGATAACATAGCAAATCAGATATGGATTTAATAATCAAATATCTGTTGGATTATTGGATCGGATTGGATCAGATAATTTTCTTATCGGATCGAATCGGATATAGACAGATCCGATCCATACCCGATCCATTTACAGCCCTAATCTTCACCTACCCCGTTTTCATCTTATCCCTTACAAGATGACAATCAATTTATATGTGTTTCGTTCTTTCATGAAACACGGGGTTGCTAGCTATGTGTATAGCCGACTGATCATCACATAACAATACGACTGGTCTGGTATGTACAACACTTAAATCTCTCAGTATATTTTTCAATCAAGTGAATTCACAAACTGATACCGCCATGGATCGATACTCAGGTTCAACTGAAGATCTTGAAACCATATGTTGCCTTTTAGACTTCCACGATATTAATGAGTTTCCCAAGAATATGCAATAACAAGTAATGGATCTTCTACTGTCCGAACACGCTGTCCAATCTGCATTACAGAAGCCTTTGAGATGTAAATCAGATTTGCTTTCAAAGATGAGGCCTTGTTCTGGTGTACCCCTTAAATACCGTAACACATTATAGGCTGCCTCTAGATGAGATTGTTTTGGTGATTGAAGAAATTAGCTGAGGACTTGTACTGCATATGATAAGTCTAGTTGTGTTATTGTCAAGTAAAGAAGTCTTCCTACTAATCTTCTGTATACACTAGCATCTACAATTGCTTTTCCTTCATTTTTGCTCAACTTCAAGTTGTGTGGGAAGAGGCTATTTGCTGGTTTGGCTCCAAGATAGCCTGCATCTGTTAGAATGTCCCGTGCGTATTTGCTCTGACAAATGGATATCCATGTTGAATTCCTTGCCGCTTCAAGAACTAGGAAATATTTCAGAGTCCCCAAATCCTTCCATCTGAATTGTTCATTTAGCTCATTTTTAAATTGCTCAATATAGGACAAATTATTTCCACCAATGATAATATCATCCACTTAGATGAGAAGCACAGTAAATGAGCAGACATCATGTTTACTGAATAATGAATTATCAGATTTCGATTGCCTAAAATCTTGTGAAAGAATGTAAGAAGTTCGCTTCATATTCCATTGCCTTGAAGCCTGCTTGAGTCCATAAATGGACTTGTTTAGTTTGCAAACTAACTTCTCACCATTCTCCCCCTGCTGCTCATAACCTAGAGGCATCAACATGTACACCTCCTCATTCAAATTCTCCATGGAGGAAAGCATTATTTATATCCAGCTAATGAAAGTGCCACTGCTTGTGGGCTGCAGCAAAAAGAAGAGTTTTTACAGTGACCAATTTGGTAATAGGGAAAAATGTTTCTTCATAATCCAAGCCAGCTTGTTGAGTGAAACCTTTAGCTACAAGATGTGCCTTCTTCCTTTCTTCTGAAACATATGAATTGAGCTTCACTTTGAAAACCCATTTACAAGCAATTGGAGTCTTATGTACAGGC